ATCCATTAAAGGCTCCAGATATCAGTATGGAGCAGAATCAGCGCAACAAAAAAATAGCGCAATATTTTGTTGCAATTTCTTACAAAACTTGCGCACAAAAAGCAAATCTAGTATGAAAATCATCAAACTTCTAATGCTCGTAACTCAGTTCAGACTGAGTTTAGAGGTATACATGCCATAGTAAGTTTGGTATATTATACTATTTTGTAATCAAAAAAGAAAGTCTGGTCGATGGCCGCGCGAAAAAAAAAGACGCCACTTTCCATACAAAATCTGGCATTGCCATTTATCAATCGATAATATCACATCACTAATCCTCCCTACAGGGTGTTAGGTAAATGGGTATATGAGCCGACACTAGCCCATGTTAACATGGTCATATAAATGGTATGGTGAAGTCAGAAATTTGATATCATCATTTTATATCATATTTTTTTTAATTTTCATACAAAACAAATTTTATAAAATCCGATTTGTATGAAAATTAAAATAATACCCTGTGTATAAAAAAGTTAAAAATTGTGAGTGACAATAGTAACAAGACTGACGAGTAACATTAACAGAATGACACAAAATAATTAGATGTTGAAAAGATGTTGAACGATATTCAGATCTTATTAAGTACTAGCTTTCCGCCCGCGGTTTCGCCCGCGTGGAATTTTGTCTGTCACAGAAAAACTTTATCGCGCGCGTCCCTGTTTCAAAAACCGGGATAAAAACTATCCTATGTTCTTTCCCGGGACTCAAACTATCTCTATGCCAAATTTCATCAAAATCGGTTGCGAGGTTTAAGCGGGAAAGCGTAACAGACAGACAGACAGACAGACAGACAGACAGACAGACAGACAGACAATTCTTTGAATTGGTCAAGGAATAAATGTTTGACTTACCAGGGTCACCGTTGTGGAGCATGTTGTTGTCTGGTGGTGGTAGGAGGCAGCTAATGTCCATTTCCTGTAGGCAAAAAAAAATAAAGTTACTTATGTTATCAGCCAAAGGCGCACAAATTCTATAAGTAATGTGTAACATGACTTTAGCAAATAGTGCTCCAGGAAAGAATTACTTACAATATCCTGTGGTTCTGGCATCCCAAGTCCTGCCCAGCTGTCACTGAACGTCAGCCTTTGTTCCTCGGTTAAGGGAACTGATCCAAAGTCCTGTGTGGGGCCGGAGTCAAACGCAGCTACTTTTTGCAGCTCCGCCACTAGAAAAGAATAAAAGAGCATGATGAGAAAATTATAATCACAAATTGAAATAGGTAAGTGTGGAAAATAAGTCTTAAAGTCAAATTTTACATTTTGCCCGCAGCTCGCCGTTGTAAGCGCGCTGTTTTTCCGCCTCTTTCTCCACAGCTAGAACTTTGTCTTGCAAGTCTAGGATGTAGTTAGCGGCGTCCTTGTAGCGCATTTGCTTGATCTCCTTCTGAAAAAGTAAGGGAAATGTTATTGACAAGTACTAGTTTTATTAGAAAAAAAAATGAATGGCCGTGTATAGTGGGCTTACTTACATTAGGGTCCACCATTTTCGCCAGCTCAGCCCAATTCTCGGCGATGTCGGCGCGCCTCTGTGCCTCGTAGAACTTGTTGCGCTCCTTCTGCTGTTCCTGAACACAACATTAATTGATTAGTATACCAAATTAGCATTTTGCACATTATTTAAAGAAGGTTGTACACACTTGCAATGGAAACTTACTTTTGTGAGAGGTGTGCGTTTGTGCCCGCGAGGCCGGCCACGTTTCCTGAGAGGCAGGTCGTGCATCTGACTCGTATTCATTGCGGTTGAGTATTGAAAATTCGTAAATCACGGATGGACAGTGGACACAGTGGTTCTGTTCGACACCAAAAGGGCAACTAATGAAGGCTTCAGCGGGAGCCGTCTTAAGTACCTGCGCTCGCGCAACAGACAGACAGACAGACAGACAGAGAGTTACTTTCGCATTTATAATATTAGTTGGGATTAGTTGGGATTGAATGTATTAATTTTAGCGTAATGATTCGACAAATTGTTAACTTATTTAATTTGGACAATTTGAAGAATGATCTCGCTGAAATACAGATAACAAAATATCAATTATTCCAATAGATTATGGATGCTTTGCATAAGTTAGAATAAGTGAGTTATCCTAACCTAACTTTATTTACCTGTCCATCGAACTTATGAGAAAACGATGAAATTTTACTCTAATGAGTATATCATATTCAAATCCAATCCTATTTTATGTTGTTAAGTATGCACATCTATGACACAAGTAAAAACATTTAACGTTTTTGTCTCACAATAAATCTGACGCAGAACCAAAACAAACGAAGTTTTTTTTTAATTCTCTCTGGCGCAGTATTGCCCATGGCAATTTCCAAATAAGCCAACTAGTGCCAGTAAAAGAAAAAAAGATTCAAGTTTTAATTTTATTAAATCCGAGCTACTGAACAGTAATAGATGTACAATGATCAGCTGGTTACCATTGAGTCGATGTTTTATGAGAAAACATCGATACATCGACTAAATCAATACCTTTTCAAAGCATCGAATCGTTTCGAAGCATCGAACTATAAACATCGTGTGAACATCGATGTATATCGAATATCCCTAGATGATAATCTGCTCGCGAACCTATGTTATGATGGGAAGAGTCAATACAAAGGTATTTTTTTTTTTTTTTTATCCACAACGAGGAAGCTCTTGGCCTGTATCTCACCTGATGGTAAGTGACGATCAGGCCGAAGGTGGAAGCGAGCTTCACCC